TAATCCGGGCATGCATCCTGTTTCAAGCTCCGCGAACCTATTCAGTGCGCATGCGTTAGGAGCGCAGCGCAGCATAGCTGTTGAAACCACTTTTTCCCCCAAGCGCTGGGGGAAAATTAGTGAATCGTTTGAACTCCGATTTCGCGCGGTTTTTATTTCATCGCGTTATTTTTCAATTTTATAAGTTGAATTTGCATTTTTGATCATTTGTTTCGGTAAGTCCATACCAAAAGGTATCAGAATCTGCAAAGTTGTGTTTTACGTTGCATGTGACCTTTAACCCCCTGGATGCCACAGGGACATATATGTCCTTCCCCTCCAACCCTCAATTTGAAGTCGAATAAAAATCAAAATGTCCCACGCACACAAATACACTTCACAGTTTCGAATTCTGCGGGGAAATTTCCTGTTTCTTGATACCATCCACTATTATTTTAGACAAAGCTCAAGTGCTGAAAATGACCTTTCAAAATAGGCTTCATCGAAAATGGCGACATTTTTGACACAGTATGAAATCGCGATTCACAGCGTTATTTGCTGTATGTTTTGAAATGTGAAAATCGGATAATTCCTGGGAGTACTGAATTTCAAAACTAACCTATTCATGATCACTGATATCAGTTTTACATGAAACCGCCATTATAATTCTGAAGCGTTGCCGATGAATCTAGAATCGGTTGGGATGTTTTCGAAAATGCACTTACACTAGCGCCGTGAGAGCTTTCAGCCATATTGGATAGTGTTTACAAAATCACGTTTAAAAAGGCGGTATTGAGACGCCTGTTACATCACGTATATTTCATATTCAGCATCGAAAAATGCATCACTGAATTCCCCATACATTTTAGAATCAAATTGCAACTGGTCTGTGTCACCAATACCAACTGTCTAGATAAAATGAGGCGAAACATATTGGGTGTGAAAAGCGAACGCTGTGCTCGAAAGACTACGCTGGTTCGAAGCGTAAACAAAGACAAATTCGATTTTACACTGCGTAGCATTTTCTGAAATTTTCCAACATTCATCCGTCTATTCATAGCTTGCAATAGCTCAATACCTTTTGAATATGCATGGAAAGAGTATCGTAGCAAGCAATGGGAAATTATAAATAGATACAATGCAATGATTTGATAATTCATTAGAAATTGTCAAAGTTTCCGTGCAGCGTGACGCCATGACTGGCGCAAAATCACGCAGAACGACAACTGTAATATATCAGCATTTCTGGCTTCTTCTCTTACTTACAGTGAAAACGATAGAAACATAACAATACACAGTTAGTCAGAATCATTCTGATTACTTACATCTCATATTTATGTACAAACGATCCCTGAATCAATGGAAGAGTCCTTGCAAAATCCTATCTATCCTTGTCAGCAAAGCCGCCATTTTGTAAGAAATAGGTCATCGGTTATGATGTCATACGTCAACATTGTTGTACATATTAGGCAATTTCTTTGAGGTGAAGGTCGGTTGAACAAGAGTAAACACAATCGCCCAAATCCTTCCGATTACACTGTCAGTATTATAATGTATATTTTGCGGATAGTTCAGATACTTTTTCATGAAACTGACCTCAGTATCTACATTTAGCCTTGTCAAATATCATATCACACTTGCATATAGGGTTTACGGTGTTTTATTCTTTGAAAGGTTTTGATTGTTTGAATAATATGTACATAAGAAATTGACACATTTAGTGCAGTACACCATATTCTAAACCTTTAAGATCAAACTGGCCATAACTGCAATATTACTTTAGTTCCTATGATGTACAATATTCAATGCATTTGAACTAATATTGCAGTTTCACATGAACAGGTTACTGAATGGCGATTTGATTAAACCTTATAAGTAAAACTGATAATATTTAATGAAAATGATTTATGTATGTTATGAAATGTATATGCACACACATTTAAAGGAAATGTCTTGTTCATTGCACATTTTTGTGTCGTTTTATAGAGAAAACAATGATGTAAATTGATTGGCAAGGTGCGCGTTTGTCGGAAACGTTTTATGATTCACTATCATTGTTTTCGATAATATAATCAATTCATATTCGATTTAAAAATATTGTGATGACAGGATATCAAACTATATTTATACGAAAATTGTTTAAAAATGTAAAATGCATGTCATGTCTTAATTTGGACAAATCTTACATCCATATTCTAATATATAGTAATGCATTACTAGTTCCATATATAAAAGCTATCTTTTAGCATCTTCCATTGCATAATTATGAAGAGAAATAGCTGCATAATCATAAATAAAGTAAATTCCTATCCTAAACAAAATATTCAGGTGTTGTGAATTGTTATTTTTCATTTACGTTAAATTGATGCCAAACATGTGCGCGTGTTGCTCATGATAAGATACACAGTCAAACTGTCTAATTGTTGATATATTCAGGACACTATTTAAAATGGAAAAAACAGTCATTTTATGTTTTGTCTAAAGAGTGTTAATTCTGAAAAAGAAGCCGAGACCTTTCACACAATTAATGGAAATTAGGTGAGATATATACTAATCAGAATACCAATGTCGTCACTTTCCGACGTCGCAAAATACATAAAACAAGCAATGACGTCAACTAAAATGTATTATTTTCAGCAATTTCATTACATTTGAAGATATGGCTGGTATTCTGGTAATAACGATGCACAATAAGTCAAAATACATCTACACAAACAGGAGAATATGGGAATCTAAGAACTAACTTATATATCGGATAGGCCCATCCAAATCGCTATTACGTGCTTTCACATGTAGTACGTTGTCATCTTTTCTTATAAATTGTGAAACTACCAAAGCGTATCCGCTCACATTGGGGAACTTTGAATTGGAATAGTTTGGTTCACCGTGAACAATAAATAACGAAAATATAGCGTCAGTATCCACAACAAATTCTCTCCATGTGAACTGAGTTACATTGACCTAGTGTTAAGCATAACTGAGTTATGCCCCTTACCCTTATACGTGTATGGCCTCTCTGTCGTTGTCTGACGTCATAGAAGAAAATCCATTTTTGACATTTGTTGCGAGTCATTTTTAATGTTGAGCGTATAATGTTATGCATAAGCACATAAATCCAATTCATATACACTTATGTCGTCCAGATATCAGGCTGTATTTTCTTCGCTCACTCTTTCCTTAAAGATGCCCAAATAAAAAAATCGTAGCACAGTGCTTTTATCGGTGAGCGATAAAAAGCGGAGAAATTTACTGTTTTTTAACGCATAACAAAAATTTTGACAACATTTAGCAAGGTCTATTTCTCAAACCGCAGAGGTAGTTGCACTTATATTTATACCAACGGATAGCAACTTTAATATTCTACATTTCTGTGTAATTTTATAGCCGTACGTAGATCCAGCACCAAGCAAGCGCAATTCTCGCACAACGTTCACTTTTCAAAGGGTATGAAAATGTGCGCTGAAAAAAATCTCGGCAGCCAGGGGGTTAAGATCATCATGGGTACTCTTTAAGAAGACTTGGATTCTGTTGTACAGGGGTCATGCTTCCTGTCCTTAGGGAACTATGAGGAAGTCACATTTATAGTTAATTCTTCCATGACATTTGGGCATCCATTACTGTGATACATCACTGAGAGCTTTCGATGAGTGACTGTTGCTTATTCAGTATGTCATTGAGAAATGCTACATCATGGCAACTGTACTTTCCTGGCATTACAAGCCTAGAGATGTCCCTGTACCAGGTAAACCAGATACTAATAACATCCAAAGCATAGTATATCACTTGGGTTTGATGCAAGAAGAATCTGGTCATCAAGTGCAAAATGATTGTGGACAGAACAATTAACAAAGTGGCACCTGTTATGACATGGTCCTCATTTAAGCCAAATTTTATCAACAGCTAAGGGTGCTGGGGAGCTATCCTTGAGGACACATGATAGACGTATGGGGCTGCAAAAGTATGCCCTGATTGAAACGGCTAATTTCATGAACAAATGTCATTGAAAGGTAGAGTATTTAAGATCCAGCCTTTGTTAGTTAAAGTGAAAATGGCTGAGCCTGAGGACATGTGGAGGACACTAGAAAGCTTGAAATTCTGTTACCTCGGACAGTGACTTTACATCAATGGTGATGACACACACACACACACACACACACACACACACACACACACACACACACACACACACACACACACACACACACACACACACACACACACACACACACACACACACACACACACACACACACACACACACACACACACACACACACACACACCATCCTTAACATTAAAACGGTTCTTTAAATTAACAATTGCAGAAGAGTTGGAGAAGATTGTTTTAGCTATGTAAACTGGCAAAAAAAGGACTAAATCACCCCTACTCATCTTTAGCTTGCACGGCCATCTATAGATCTACAAAGTATGCGCTATGTGCTCTTTGACCTTGTTGAAATATTGACAAATAATTAAATGGATATCTTAAACTATTGATTGTTTTTCCTTTGGGGTTTGGTTTGGTTAGAAAGAGAGAGAGAGAGAGAGAGAGAGAGATTTTGTCCCTCTGAAGCACTTTTGGGGAATTTGTCCAGGGGATTTTGTCCGGTTACCAATGGTGATAAAGCAAGACATGTCAGTTGAGCATGCGGCATAAGTGGATGAAGCCAGGAATTGTTAACATCATTTATATTTTATTTAGTATTTTCTTACAAAGAAGTTGAGTGTCAACATGTTTTACACTGAAAATGGTGAATCACAGTTCCACTCCTAAACTAAGTGCCATTTTACAGATCCACAGTAACATGCTCTACCATATCTAGATTGAAAACAGAGTCTGCTAAGATTTTCACACTTACGTTGCATCTTGTAACGATTGATTAGTTAAAAGAACATCCAATTTCACATGTATGATGGTTTAACCCATTTATTACAAACTACAAACATTCAATAGATGGCAGAAAAAAATTATGTTTCAAATTCCCATCTTGTGTCCTCTCATCATGGACAATTCATCTTACCTTGCAGCCACTCAGAGCTTTTGCAGCAGTAGATGCATGGAACAGTGACGCCAAGTTGCCAGCATCCACAATTGATGTCAAGGTTTTGCAAGTGTCCTGATTGAAATAACAAAACATGGATTCATAACCACACTATCATCATAGCCTATGATCACTACAAAGTAATTAGACAGGTACCCAGTCATTTATGCATGAACACTGCCACATCATTCCATAATATCTGACCATTAACCCACATTAATGAATACTGCTAACTGAAGACTAAGAATGATGAGGCTTAATGAGTTCACACTTACTATGTTCTTTACAAACAACTGACATGATGTACTATGTTCAATGAAAACAGCAGGATGCATTAAAATAGAAGTATACTTTTGACCAGATCAGAAATCATCAAGTATTGTTGATTACCTGAGCATTGGGAAGAGTTGCATCCAGCAACTTAAGTCCCAAAATGGAGTAATGTGCACTAGCTGCATCTTGGAATGGTTGAGCAGCCTGGAACACAGACTTCAATCTCTGTCTGTCTACTGTGGTGAGGAATGTTGATGGTGTCAGTGCACGACCAACAACTGCCACCGCAAAGAGGATCAATATTGTGAAACCTGTCAATGAAAGAAGTTGCCAACTAAATAAAGATGCGTATAGTAGTATACTTACTTTCCTCAGGCAATGTACATACAGGAAGAGGCAGCTACCATATTTTCTCATATGTATAGAAAAAGCCCATGCATACCAGCAGCAACATTCTAATACCAGGGCTCCAGATAATTTTTCAACATCAGGAGTACGTACTCCTTATTTGTTCAATATAGGAGTACTGGAAAACCTTAAGTGTACATGTAGTGTACTGAATGGAAATTAATGGAGTATCAGTAAGCTTGTGTTTCGTTTCATGTATGCACCACAACATTGATTCTTGTGTAAACAGGTCAATGAACAATAAAACAATACTTTTTTCAGATAAATACGTTTGTAAATGATTCTAAGACCGTAACCATTGCTGTGGTGCGTATTTGCTACGTTTTCTAAATTATTTCCTACCGTATCGTGCATATTTTTTATCCGTACATACGCCCGATACGGCCCTTATCTGGAGCCCTGTAATACATTATCTATCCTTATGTGCATGTTGAAGAGAACAGACCCTTTTACAGATTTTCTAAATAAGGCTTCAGACTGGCGAAAATTATGCCATCAAATGGCAGGGCTCGATTTAGTTCTTTGCAACTTGCACTGGTGCATCCCAGTATTACAAAATGCAACCTAGTTATTAGTCTAACTTGCACCAGGTGCAGGTCAGTTTTAGAGAAATAAATCAACAATAAATCTAACATTGTGAGCAAAATTATGTCAGCTCATTTTTCATCTAAACTTTGAATAGCTATGCCACCGAAACATTGCTATTTATAGACACCGCTCGCTCGGCTGTGACAGCTCTTGTAAACAGGGATCAGCTGTGTGGCGGCGTTGCTATGGTTTCAAGGGTACTTCATCACGGAAATATGTTTATGTGCACTGATACCTCTGACGTATTAACACACTACGTCATCGTTTTAAGTGATAGTTGACAGATTTATCGCACATGGCTGTGTGAAACACTAAGCCTCCTGTCAACTTTATTTATCCAAACCGTGAATGAATATAACCATGACGGATAGCAAAAGTAAACAGACAAGCATTAAAGCATTTTTCCTGAAGAAATCAAGTGAAGATGCTGACAAAAGTGGTAAACAAAACTTGGAAACTGAGAAACGTGCCGATACTAACATGAGTGATTCCATTAACATTGCCGATGCCTGTGGCAGTTCGGGGTCGGGTGTTAAATCTACAGATGATGAATTGAAACGTAAATTAGAGACAAATCCAACCACAAGCAATGCAAAAAAAATTAAGACTTACAAATTTAAAGAGGAATGGAAAAAAAAGGGACTGGTTACATTATGATGAGATTGAAAATAACATGTCTTGTGCCACATGTCAAAAGTATGATAAAAGTGGAAGAAGTAATTCTTTTAGGAGTGGGTGCAAGTCTATAAGACTAAGTGTGATAGAAATCCACCAAACTAGTGATGTTCACCTCCGATCTGAGGCCCATGAACTAGCACAACTGTGCAAAAATAAATCAGTTTTGCCATTGGAAAAGACAGTTCTTAAAATGCAGGAAAATCAAGTTGACACCATGAAGATTTTATTCATAGTAGCATACTGGATAGCAAAAAATGAAAAACCATTTACAGATTTCTCCAAAATGCTTGAACTTTTAGAAATACTTGGAATTAAATCAGGCCAGACATATGCAAATGACAAGAAAGCAAGAGGATTTATTGGCCTAATCAGTGAATCTTTTCGTCAGGAAATTGTAGGAGAACTTCGGACAGCTGAATATTTTTCAGTATTATTTGATGGGTCAACAGACTGCAGTGTTTTGGAACAAGAAATCATGTATGTGAGATACATTAAATTTGGACAACCCAAAACTGTGTTTGTGTGTGAATCAAATGTGGAAAAAGGTGATGCTCTTCACATCAAGGAGGCAATCTTGAAAATGTTAGATGAGAAACTTGATTTATCAGAGGATGAATGGAAAAGTGGTCTAGTTGGTTTGTGTTTTGATGGGGCAGCTGTGATGATGGGGTGTAAGTCAGGTGTGGCAAAGAGAATACAAACATTAGCCCCTCGTGTGATTGCAATCCACTGCTGTGCCAACCGACTGGAACTTGCAGTTAAAGATGTCACAAAGCAAATATCCTATTTGGAAGACTTTGACGAAACTCTTGTGAACTTGTACAAGTTCTACAAGTATTCGCCACTGAGGTGGCAAGGACTAAAAGCAGCTGCTGAGGCACTGAATGTAAACCTTCTCAGGCCAGTTAGAATACTTGGTGTGAGATGGCTCCCTCATCATGAGCGTGCTGTGAAGGCTGTCTCTCAGTCGTATGAAGCACTGGCTGTTCATCTTCAGAATGAAGCAAGAACTGGCAATAAAGACAATCAAGAAAAATCAAGATGCATACTTCTTTTGCTCCAGTCTCTGAAGTTTGTCATGATTCTTAATTTTCTCACCAGTTTTCTGGGAGTGATGTCAAAACTGAGCAAATCTTTTCAATGTGACAAATCTGGCTTGCACTCTGTACATGAAAATGTAGAAAAGGCAGTTGGACATATTGAAAAGCTGACAGAGAGAGAGAGACTTACTGAAGTCATGTTGAAAGGAATTGAAGTGGCTGAAGGTGACAACCCAGAGTACAGGTTTCATGGGATGACACTTAGTGTACCTGAAAGGGGACTACCAAAGAAAAGAGGAAAGCAACCTGTGAAAAAATCTGAAAAAGAAGATGCGATTGAATCGGCAGAAATGATCATACAGAAAATGAAGTCAAATTTGGCATCAAGATATGATGTGACAGATGATGTGTGTGGAGCATCCTACGTGCTCAACCCCAACAACTTGCCCAAGGATCCAGCTGCACTCAACTCTTATGGGGACACAGAGATCCAGCTGTTGGCTCAGCACTTTGACAGGCCCTTGACTGCTAAAGGGTATGTTCCCGAAGCAGCAGCAGTGGAATGGCTTACTGTGAAGAAACAGATTGTGAGGATGCTCAGTTTTGAAGAAAATCTTCACTTTGTACAGGTATGGGAAAGGGTTTTGACAACTAATGATCTGAAAGGTGAAAACAAGGACATCTTAGCCCTGGTTCGAATAATCCTTTCACTGCCAGTGAACTCGGCAATATGTGAAAGAGGGTTTTCCCTCATGAAGAGAGTGAAACCTGACTGGCGAGGTTCATTGAGGAGTGACACTCTGACAGATCTGCTTCTGTATCAGTGAATGGTCCAGCCACACATGATTACAACCCAGATGCTGCCATTGCACTATGGCTCACAAGGAAGAACAGGAGGATTGCTGCAGCTGGAAAGAGAACACAGATAGAGCAGGCATGGAGCAGTGATGAATCTGAGTAACGACAAGTGGGTAAACTTCGGAATAAAACATCTAAATGATTCAATAGCATATTTCTTTCATTACATGTTGCAATAAAAGCAGTGCAACTGGAATTTGGCTGGTGCAACTAGGTTTTTATCTTAGGGTGCACCTGGTGCAAGTAGGTTAACATCTCTTAAATCGAGCCCTGAATGGTTATACCTCAGTTGGGGAACATATCCAAGTTATAATGATTATAATAGCTGCTTTATAATGAGTGAGTTAATATTTAACGTCACAATGGCAATATTTCAGCCATACCACGACATGCTGCTCTTTGGAGATCCTTTTACCTTTTCTGGATAACATCTCCACTGCGAACTAAGAACTTTTTATGGAAAAATACACCACCTTTGATTGGGCGTCAAACATGACCATTAACTACAAATAAATAGTTAGCACATCTTGTAAATGAGTGATATTTCAAACATAATTTAATAAATATTTTATACACTGATCATGGCAGAGATAATCATGATAATACATGACAGGATAAAACTAGTGACAAAATACACCTCAGTCAACCAGTGGTTGTCTCATGCCTGTTGACACATTCAAGGTACTCTCAGACAAGAATACATTGCACTTACTGACATATGTGTGGGTGAATCCTCAGACTAATGGCACACAGAAAATAAATGTGGTTCAGATTACTGCAGTTCTAAAACTAATGTAGGTAGATCATGTTATTTCACACACAAAAATTAGTCACAAAATGACAAGACTACTGTAAAATTTGATGTTGTGCCCTGTCTGTATATTGTACTGTATATTTTGGGAAATTGAAATTTATTTAGAAAAGAAAACTTCACATTAAGAGATATGTAATATTTTCATTTGTATTTAAGCTTCAAGTGACAAAAAAAAACTCATTTAAATTATGTAATTTTTAGAGTAAAATTGATATTTTATACTTATCCTGACTCATGCTCTTTTGCTTGTCTTCTTCTTCTTGCGAACATAGTGGAACACTTGTATCTCCTTATTTGAAGCTCCCTTCAAAATAAAATCACTAATTGGTACTTACCACGAGTTGCTCCCCTTTGTTTCCCCTGGCGGGAAAGGTGTCGCCACCCTCTGGCCATGTGCTCCACTCTCTCCTGATTTAGCGAGCCCAACACTTGAACTTACAGGGAAATCCAAAGTGTTATGTGGGGAGGATGGGAGGGCTAACCTCATGAGTCAGGATAAGTATAAAATATCAATTTTACTCTAAAAATTACATATTTTTCCTTATCCTGACTCATGCTCTTTTGCTTGTAGCATCCTACGGAACGGAGGTGGGTAACAGAATACTTTGGATTTATAATTAGTGATTTTGTATAGATATACTGTAATATCCCCTACGGGAACTTCATGAAGGCTTAGATTTAGGATGTTTCCTGTATAAAGAAAACCATAGGTTATATAAAGCCATTAAAGGGGAATTACATTATGAATATATTGAACAATACATATAAATTATATATATATATATAGGTGACTCTGATAGAGGCACTGAAATTGACTATACCAAAGTATATGCTTAAGGTTGAATACTTAAGCTGAACATATATACATAGCCCTAAAACTCCGTGAGAGTTATAAGCTAGATGAGTATGTATAAAATACATATTA